GGGGGGGGGGGGGCAGTATCCAGCCCTAGAAGGTGGGGACTGGAGGAGCTTCACCTAGGATCAGGGTCCCAGGTAAAGCAGCTGGGGTTCCAGGCTCTGCAGCAGAAAAAAATATGTGAGACAGGTAACTTCTGTATTCAAGCCCCCTGCCCCATTCTGGGTGCCTTTCTACTCTTTAACTGCCTCCTCTGAAATCCCAAGAACACCCTTTTGATTCATCTATAATAACAACTCTCAAAGTGTGGTCTGTGGACCCCTGATGGTCCTCTAGGCCCTTTCAGGAAGTCTAAGGTCAAAACAATATTCTTTTCTTTTTTTAAATTTATTGACCGGGTATTGAACCTGCAACCTTGGTGTATCGGGATGATGCTCTAACCAACTGAGCTACCTGATCAGGACAAAATAACATTCTTAATACAAGGATATTACTTGCCCTTTCCATTGTACTGATATTTGTTCCCATGTTGCAAAAGCAAGTGTAGATGAAACTATTGGCACCTTAGTACACATCAAAGCAGGGGCACCAAACTATACTGGAAATGATTTTACAAACATTTTTAAGCTCTTTTACAAAAATACCAGTTTGACTTAAGAAAGTCTTTGATGAAACAGTAAACAATTTTTAATTTTATAAAAACTTGACCCATGCTATTTGCATTTTAATATTCTGAGTGACAAATGGGAAGTATAGGTAAAGCACTTCTGCTGCACACTGAATGCGATGGTTGCCTCAAAAAAAAAGGGGGGGGCATTTGTACAATTGTTGGAATTACAAAGTGAACCAGCCACTTTTTTCATGGAACATTATTTTTACTTGAAAGAATGACGTGTATGACTTGTATCCACCACGTGAGCTTAGCAGCTTCCTAACACTTACCGGCTTTCTTTGACGAATCAGCGGTAGTTCCTAATGAATGTGATCTTTTGATATTATGTAATGAAATGTGCCAACATTTGGGACTGCGGAACTCAGTGAACTAATATTTTCTAAATGACTAGTACATGATGTTACAAATCATGAATGGGTGAAAAAATCCACCGGTACCTAGACAGACCTATGGATTTTAATGTAACAGAGCATGAAAAGTTCATTGACATGGTTTCAAATTCCACATAGCGATTACCTGTAAGCAACTACCTCTTGTCCTGTGTTGGTGTTGCATCATATAAGAATATCTACAGTGATCTGAAAAGGCTGTTAAAATGCTCCTCTCTTTTTCAACTACCTACCTGTGTGAAGCTGAATTTTCTTCTTATGCTTCAGACCAAAGCAACATATCACAACAGATTGGATACAGAAACACATAGGAGAATTCAATCGTCTTCTATTAGGAATTGTAGAAATACTTAAAACTCTTAACGATGCTACTCTTCTCACTGACTTCTTTGTTTTTGAAAATTTGGTTACTTTCCCTAAATATGTTATTTAAGTTAACCTGTAATAGGTTTGTTATTTTAAATAAATTAATAAATATATCTTTTTCCCCCCAGTTTTTGTTTCTAATAAGTTAAAAACAAAAGCTCGTTGGGGTCTTCAATAATTTTGAAGAGTCTAAAAAGGTCCTGAGAACAAAAAGTTTGAGAACCACTACCCCATACACTTATTGCATATGGTAGGGACTCGCTCACTAAATAAATGCGTGAGGAGTGTGTCAGCAGTGCTATGAAAAGAAAGGACATACCGGCGTCATGTGGGAAGCGGGGGCCGCTGAAGCTGCTCTTCCCTAGGTATCTCTGAATGTTTCCTAACTTTGCCTTCTCATCAAACAATCTGCCTCATATAGTAAACTAATTAATTATAAGGTATCAAATGTAATGCTATTGAGCACTTACTAGATATGCTAAGCATTGTGCTGGAAATGAGAATACACGATTAATAAGACAGGGACCCTGACATCCAGGAGATTGCCGTCTAGGTTGCTATGTGGCTACATAGAAGAATAGCCCTAACAATAAGATAAGAAAATAACCGGTGATATTTTTGCATTTAATAGAAACCTTTAATGACTTAATACAAAACAGAGAGGCCAGTGGGGTTTTCCACCAGTGCAGAAGCAAGTTTGGGTCAGAGCCCCCTCTTTGGAGTCCCTAAAACCACACCAACTGTGGGAAGTCACTAATGCCTATCTTACCTTCTTTCAGGCCAATAAACTCCCAGCAGAACTAACCAAAAATGAACGTATATTGCGTCTCCTCCGAGGGAAAGAAGGCCACAGGAAGAGCTACCTTAGTTGCATATTTGACTGAGAGGTAGGAACCTTAACCACATTGTCCAACTAGAAATGGCTTTCAAATAGTGTTGGAAATTCTTCTAAGAAAGAAAATGCTCTGATTGCCCACCCTAGGTCCCTGACCAAGAAGATTTGTACTTCGTGCCCTGAAGCAAGAACAGGACAGCTCAGGGACCCCTTCCCCTCCTTTACCTGGGCTTCTCACACCGGCCTATAACCCTGCTCCCACAGGGGCTGGCAGTTTCGTGGATTCCACGGAAACTCATTTTAAACTATACTAACCTGAGTCTTTAGGTTCAACTCTAATTGTTAAACCCTCTAAGAGCTTTAAGTAAGAAGACAGAAGGACTGTAAGCCTTCAGAAGACTGAAAGTCTGACCTTCAATGAACCAATGCACTTTTGCTTTTGTGTTAAATGTATGTCTGCTAAAATATATAGCTCCATTATATTTTACACATATACATGTATGTCATCCCAGTGTAAAATCTTTTCTTCTACCCAAGGATCATAGCCATGTTTACTAGGACTCAATGATGCATAAAGCTGCACTATTAAAAAGCCACTCTGACGTTCCTCCGTGTGCTTTTCAAGGATGGACTGTTGAACTATAAAAAAGACAAAACCGTTCATTTGTGAGCTGTTCCTCATCTCATTCCTGACATGTAAATTCATTTTTTTACCTAGAGTCCGTATTGTAGGTATACTAGGATACAGTGGCAAATTTGAAAATTTGGAAAATTACAAGCCACAGGAAATTTAGGCCCTTTTCTTTGAGCATTTATTTTGGTTCAGTTATTGAGACTCTGTTTCCTGTGCCGTGCTAAGTAGATTTAACATGCTCTGGAATCTTGAGCTTCCAACATCCCATTGCTTGATACAATGACTTTGATGTCGTTGTATAAAATGTGACATGTGCAAGTACAATATGTGGCTATTACTATTGCAGGAGTATAAGTAATAGAATACTGTTATTAGTATTTAGTAAGTGTTCCTCTCTGCATGTTCTTGAGCTAATTGATTCCAAGAAAGAAACCTGGGTTTTAATTCTTTTGAGAAGCGGTGTCAAAATTTATATTCGATGTACTTTATAATCAATGGTGTCTAAATGCCTCAGTCAGTGCCTAATTGCACAGACAGAAATGAAACCTTCTTTCTACAACCTGCCATAATGAACACTGATGGTATTTCTGTTGTTTAAAAACACACCTTTTGTTTTCTTGTTCATGTTCTGCTCTGGTTTCCAGCCAATGTTCTGTGTAAATACATGTTAACATGGAGGGAAATGTATTCCCAAAAGGTGTTTTTAACCAATTTGTAGTGTTACTAAAAGCATTTTCTTTAAGTCAGTAAACAATGGAATATAATTTTGAAATTAGAAGATATTCTCTTACAGTTTGTTATGATCAATAAAATAATCAACAAAAATTAGGTAATTTTGATCATTACACAAGCAAAGCCAGTAATGAGCAACCCACAGCCCCCAGAGATACCTGCAGCTTGACTAGCTATTTAACAGGTCTGCAATCTAATTTCAGGATAAAATTTAGAGATTTTTTAATTTCTGGATTGCTGGAACCCCCTTATATAAATATTTTAGTAGCTGCAAAGCAGTACCAGTTTCCTCATTGACTTTCTTTTATTCACCAAAGTTGTACAATTAATTACACATTTCGCCCCATGGGTATTTCATAAAGCTGTATTTATTTTGAAGAGGAAAATAATCTGGCCTTAAAAATTTAATATTTTTTCCCCCTTAGTTAGAGCCCTTAGGCCAAAAATGGTTGCTCATCACTGATGTAAATCAAAACAGTTTTATGGGAACTGATAACAAAGTTCCAAAAGACAAAACTGGGATGAAATCACAAAGTTAATGGTTTTTTCACTAAAACATGTTTTCCTTGGCCTATTCATTAGATCCTTTTATGCAGTAAATGTTCTTGATCAATATTAGGGCCATTAAAATGAATCCAGTAGCTTTAACAATATTCAGTGGGAGCCTTGTTACTGTAGGTAAGCGGTGTCAGTCAAGCTTATTAGAAGGCTGGAATTTGGTCTAGATGAGATTATGATATTATTTATAGCAGGGAATATGATTAGATAAATCACTCACCAAAGATTGAAAATAAGGTCTGTTATTTAAAGTTTAGTTGCATTTATTTTGCACACAGGTAGATGATTCTTATTTTATGTTAGTCTAATGCACAATTCATTGATCTCTGTATCCTAAGACTTAGAACTAGCAACTTCTATGCAAATTATTTCCTTAATTGAACCACAAAAGTTTTTTATTATGTCCATTTGTTTGGTGAAATATTCCAGGTTATAATTTAAAATAAAGCTAATATACTACCCAATTTGCCTTTGCTGTTTTTCCCTGTTTGTTTTGAATCAGAAGTTATTTCTGTGATTTTTAATAAAATGGACTTTTCGTCTCTGTACGTTTTATGTTACTTATGGACCTATGATTTCATAATTTCTACCATGGATAACTTTTGTAATGATCCCAAAAGGTTTTTTATTCAGACAAAAATTCCTGGGATAGTCACAGAAGATACTAAAAATAGAAGCTTTTAATTGTTTTGCTGTTTTTAGTGTGGGAAATTGTCAGAGAAAGGTGCCCAGATGGAGTCACAGTTATAGCATGAAGGCAGGAAGGGTGGAGAATATGGGACCTATTTTTCAAAACAGGTAGAGGCAGAGCTAATGAGAGTTGGTGATTAATTGAACATAGAGGGTAAAGAAAAGAAAGGAGAGTTAGGAATTATACTAAGGTATATCAGGGGACCCTATGACCACCCCCAGTGTCAGTGATTTGCTAAGACTCCCAGAGCTCATCATATGGTCATATTCATGGCTAAGATGCAAGAGAATATATAGGAAAATCAGCAAAGGGAAAGGGAAATGGGGTGACCATAGAGGAAATCAGATGCAAACTCCAAGAGTCCTCTCCTGTGGAGTCACAGGACGAGCTTACTTCCTCTAGCAACGAGTTGTGACAACATTGTGAAGTGTTGTCTACTGGGGAAGTTCATTAGAGACTCACCCAGACTTTTAATTAAGAACTGGTCACATAGGCACCCGCTGCCTCTAATTTGCCAAAATTCAGACTTCCAGGCATTCAGCATAAACCACATTGTTTGTGCCAACGATTTGGGCACGGTGAGCCATTCTCATTTAGGGAAAGTTTTATATCACTAAAGGGAACTGTTTGACAGCCAAGTCCCCAGTGCCAACCACCAGCCAACCTTGTAAGCAAGAATTTCTAAGTATTGCAGCCTCAGGTCTGCTATGTTAACTCTTTTCCACACTCAAGATTTACGTGGTGATGGTGCCAATAGGGAAGGACAATTAGGAAATAGGGAAGGACAGCAGAGTTCAGGGTGGGGCAGAGAGAGAGTTTTGGACAAGTTCAGTTTGAAGAATGTGTGAAATAGATTCCAGAAGGCAGTTGTAAACAGCAACTTATTTTTGAGACAAGACTGTTACTGATTTGGGGCACCATCTATGTAGAAGTGATGGTCGAAGTCATGGGATGAAAGAGGGAGACTCTGGTGAGAGAAAAAGACTGAGAAGGAACTTTGAAGCAAAAAAAGTAAGTTAGCAAAAACGAGATTAAATGGACAGGAGTGGGAAGTGAAACGTATGAAGGAAGGAGAAAGTCCCGAGGAGAAGAGCGTGGGCAACAAGGCCCTTGAGGAAGTGCGGCCACATACGCAAAGGCTGGTCATATAACACACAGTCCAGACTGACTTGCTCCACAGCTTTCGCCCTGTGTTGGAGCAGATAAGGATGGCCAGTCCTGGTAACTAGTCAGGACCCAGAGCTAACATTAAATTCAAATAAATGGTTGTCTTGAAATAAGTCTAGTGGTGATTGGCAGAACTGGATTTGTGAAGCCACTCCTAACACTTTCTAGGAATCGTTGGCAACTCTCAGAATGCATTGCCTCTGTCTTGTCACCTATAAAGAAAGCACTTTGTGTGCCACCTATAAAGATGCAAGATCTATGTGGTGCAGTGTAGAGGGGCCTGCCTTACTGGTAACATGAGAAAAAATATGTTTATCTATGCTGGTTGGTTGGTTTCGGTTAGTGGCCTTAGTGTCTGCAGAAGCACGTTGAGGTGAGCAGAGCCACACGTTAGGGTTTTTCATGCCACTGTCCCACGTCAGCTCTTCCCCTTGTACTTACCTGTGCTTCAAAATATGGACAAAAACAATAAGCAAACAACAAATTATATGCTCTCTGAGCAAAATTAGAATAATTTATTTCACATTCCTCTAGCCGACAGCCAGAGGAAACCTCCTTACTCTGCTTACCCTACCAAGCACAACGAGATAAACCAGTAATACAAACAGAGGTATTCTCTCCAGGCTCTCTGACTACTATTCCTAGTCCACAGTTAAATAATTTATGTATTAGTGGGTCTGGAAAGTCTTAGAATTTCTTCCTAGTGCTCTTACCCTTATTTTTAGCAATACTTTAAGATAATTTTAAACTACGAGTGAAGGCGTGTTTTAACAATTGAAGGAAGTTATTAAAGACCTTCTGTTCTCAGATACCTTGTCAGCTTCTTCAGAAAGAATTACTTCTTCCATCGCTGGTCTCTCCTTCCCTCCCTCACTTGGATTTAACCCTCTAATTTTTAATGAGCAAAATGCTGTTTTTCTTCCCACTTCCCGCCATTGGACTTGTAAGAATAGCTTTAGAAAGGAAGTCTTCAGTTTACTGGAGTTGGGCTCCATGTTTTAGGAAAGATTAGACCCAAAACCACCCCAGGCAAAGGAAATTGTGTCATTGACTGAATCCCTCAAAGAAGGGAACACCGCTGTGAAACAGTGACTGCCAAGTTTCAAGTCATCCCCACACTGGTAGCATCATCTCTGAGTGAAAGTTCCGCCACAACCCATGACTGGATTAATCACCAAATCAAGTGTCCTTAATAAGGGGAATAAGATTTTACTGTAAGTTTGGCCAACAAGGCCCCATTTCTGAGTCAGAACCACAATGCTGAGTAAAAGAAATCAGACACAGAAGAGCATTATTCTATTGACATGAAGTTCAAGGTCAGCCAAAGTCAATTCATGGGGACAGAAGTTGGAATCGTGGCTACCTCTTGGTTGGAGGAAAGTGATGATCTTGGGAAAAGGCATTAGGGAGTCTTTCGGAGTGCCGAAAATGTATTATGTGCTTCTCTGGGTGGTGGCTACATGGATCCGTGGTAACTAGCCTCCAGGAAGGCCCTGAAGTTCCCCTCCTCTGGTATTCTTGTCCTTGGGTAGTCCCCCTCCTGCACCGTACCAGGCCTGGTCTGTGTGAGCAGTAGAATATGGAAAAAGTGGTGGCATTTCATTTATGAGGCTAGATCATAAAAGACGTTGTGATTTTGCCTATTCTCTCTTGGATTTCACTCTGGAGGAGGTCAACTGCCAAGTCTTGAGGACACTCAAGCAGCCCTGTGGAGATGCCCAAGTGGAGAGGAACTGAGACCTCCTGCCAGCAGCACTTTGGAGGCAGACCCTTCAGCCCGTCAAGATGATGGTAGCCTGGCTGACATCTTGACCGCAACCTTATGAGGGAACCTGAGACGGAATGACCCAAACCCCTGGCTAACAGAAACTGTGAAATAATAAATGTTTGTTCTTTTAATCTACTACATTTTGGGGTAATTTGTAATGAAGTAGTAGATAACTAATATAAGTGTATGATATGTAAAAACCCATCAAACCGCTTACATATAAGCTTTTACACTTTATAAATGGGTTAAATATTAATAAAAAAGGAAGAAAGTCTATTACCAAAAAGATGTTCTCAAATATATGCAACCTGAAACTCCCTAGGGGTTTGGCAGAAGCATTAACTCAATGACTTCTATATTTTACCAAAATATGTTGGCAATGTGTTGCCTGACAAAGGAAGAGAGGTGTGAGCTGGTCACCTACTCCTGTTTCCTGTGTTCAACTGGTCATCCTTCCACTACCCACAGTTGTTTTTTTTTTAGGGCCAGCTCTAGCTGCCATTCCTGGACCTTTTTTTGGGCAATCTATGAGCAAAATGTGCAATGTCTGTGACTACTTTGGGAAGTCTATGGCATTAGCAGCAAAAACAGGTCCAACTTCTCCATTAGGAATAGTAGGCACAGTGCCTAGAGCGCCTGATACTTTTAAGGTCTCATTAAAATATTTTAATTTCAATTTTTTTAAAAACAAGAAAATAATATAATAATAATGAATATATAATAACAAAGCCAGTCTGGACCATATTTGTCTTCATACCAATGCAGTTATAAAATAGAATTTTAAGGGTTTTTTTTGAAGGAGGAAGGGGCCCCCCAAAGGCAAAGGTGTCTAGAACCCACAAAAGTCATAATGCTGCCCTGAGAAAAAGGAGGGTGGTATGGACTGAATTGTGTGCCCCTAAATTCACTGTTTAAGCCCTAACTCTCAATTTAACTGTATTTAGAGGTAGGGCTTTCAGGAGGTAGTTAAGGTTAAACGAGGTCATAAGGATGTGCCCTTAATCCAATAAAATTGGTGACTTTATAGAAAGACAAAGACAGGTCTCTCTCTCTGCACACACAGGCACCAAGGAAAAACCAAGTGAGTACATGGTGAGAAGACAGCCCTCTATAAGCCAAGAAGTGGATCCTCACTAGAAACTGAACTGATGAACACCTTGATCTCGCACTTCTCAGCCTCCAGAAGCATGAGATATAAACACCTGTTGTTTAAGCTACCCAGTCTACGGTACAGTATTTTGTTATGGCAGCCCGAGCTGACCAATACAAGGGGGAAAGTAAAACACAGAACAAACAAAAACAAAAAGCACCAAGTAAGCAAAGTAAAGAAGTGTCGGGTTCATCAGCAACAGGCTCAGATATCACCAGGAGAAGTCAGTCACATCCCAGTACCCCACCCAAAGACCCACCTCTATCTTCATTTTCTATTATTGAACTTCAGCCTTCAAGTTAGAAACTAGGCAAGCTTGCAATCTGTGCAGTAGTGTTCATACATGCAGACCCAGGGAAAAGCCCTGAGGCTGAAAATCTACCTCTGTAAACAGAGGGCAGGGAAAGACTGAAGAAAGAAGTCACTCCAGTCTGGTAATTATAACTGAGTTTATTTTTTATATATGTTTTTCTTGATTTCAGAGAGGGGAAGGGAAAGGGAGAGATAGAAACATCAATGAGAGAGACACAGCAATCAGCTACCTCCTGCATGCCCCCTACTGGGGATCGAGCCCAAAACCCGGGCATGTGCCCTGACCTGAATCTAACCTTCGACCTCCTTGGACGTGGGATGGTGCTCAACCAACCGAGCCAGACCGGTCTGGCTATAATAGTTTATTAATGGAGACATATTTATGAGGCACGTCTTGGGTGACTGCAACATGAAATGGATCCTAGCCCCACTCAGCAGGTCCCAAAGAATTATATAAGGTAAAGAAGGTGGG